ATGGCTTTAAAACATTGGATTGAACTGGCTGTAGATAATGTCATGGCCACGATGTCCCATTAGTGGGCCCTTTTATTTCATTTGTGAGTGCTATTCAGAAAGGACAAAGGTGTGAAAATAATTCATTGGGTGGTAATGAATAATGCTGTTCGGTTTTGTCTTCATGTTGATCCCCTTTAATAAAAGACATAAATATAAACATGTATGAAATATATAATTAAATATATAGAGATAACTATGTTAATCTGTAGTTTGAACAGAACTGGATTAATCAAAGAAAAACTAAAGGCACTGCAATATGTCAGCATCATGGAATAAAATACTTGCTATGTGTGTAGATCTGAAACCAGGCAGTCATATACAGCAGGGTATAAGTCTCATTCCAACCTCACAGCCTAAGCAAGTAAGACCGAGGTTCACTTAATAAAGAACCATATTCAAACAGTATCAGAATTCAGCTGTTCTGACTCCCAGTTTTTTCCTTACTTAGAAAGGCTTGGGAGTAAGATAAAAAAGAGAGAAAAGAAATCTTTAGAAAAAACAGGGGTTATAATGAGCAGAAGACTGACTCTCCTCTTTGCCAATACTCTTAATCAGTTCTTAGCAATAAGGAAAGCCACCGGTGTGAAGTCAGCTTCTGTTAAAATAACTTGCAAAGCAGAGAAGAGAGTCTGCTTGGGCAAGACTGAATAGTGCCTTCTTTTCTTTCTCATGGAACTAATCCAAGTGTATTTAAAATGAACAGTAATTCACCAGGCTAAAAAATCATAAAATGTATTATGGTTGTAGCAAATTTGCCTATCTGCAAGGAAAGCCTCAATTCTCACTTTTATTGGTATTAAATTATCATGGCTTTAAGTTGAGCGATTCCTTAGCTCATAAACTTCAAATCTTCTACATTATGCAGCTTTAAGTTGACTTTTTTTGTTTTTTGTTTGTTTGGTTGGTTTGTGTGTGTGTGTGTGTGTGTGTGTTTTTATGATTTGATTCCAGTGTCAAACAGCCTTGCCTACACAGATAACAAAGTGCCAAGCTGTCTTCTTGGCTGACAAGAAACAGACAACTTAACCTGGTAATTTGAACCTTAATGAGCATTTGATAATTAAATGAGAGTGGAGGACAAAATAGAAAAAACGTTGTTATGAAACTGAGCAAATGTGACACTCCTGGACATGGAGAACATGGAGCTCCAGAAGAAACAACTTCTTAATAGAAAAATACTCTCCTTCTTTTGAAAGCTGAATAGAGAAGCAGCAGCTCAGAGATTCTGGGATTTATCCTGCAGTGAAAGTGCTGTTGGTCCATTTAGTAAAAGACTCAGTCATGGCAGGGAGGTAAAGCACCAAGACTGCTGATATTTTCCAATCTCTTAGCAGCAGTAACTACACAGCAGCTTTTCTGCAAAACAAACAAAAGAAGAATCCAGTTATTTCAGCAGTATACATTTTTTATTTGGTTAAGCATTCTAAGACAACCACTTGGTGGTTTCTTTGTGCTTAAGGAAAAGAAGTGCTGAAGCAGTGCTGAAGATTCTTGTTTACAATGGGCTCTTGCAAACATCTTATTTGTGGGATGTTTTATAAAACACTAAAAAGACAAGGCCTTCTCTGTTAGGTGGAGAACAGCTCCTGGATGTCTCCCATGAAACACATTTACTCTGCTTTTGTTCCTCTTGCTGTACACATCCCAGCATGGAAAGGGAGAGTGCATACCTCTCCGTTTATTTGTTACCACTGCAAGCACTTATGATGCCAGGTCTAAGTCAGCTGGCACTTGGGTGTATTATTTTGGGGTACATGTGGTAACCACACTACTTGCTTGATAAAAATAGCTTCAAAAACAAAGCAGGACTAGATCCACTCAAAGCAAGCTCAAATAAGCTCCAAATAGAAATAAACACACAGAGGAAACAACACTGCAAAAGCCAAAACGAGGTTTCCCTCCATGTTATGTCATGGGTGAGTTACTATGCTACAAAGCAATAAAAGGTTTATTAGCAAACAGTTTTGACTGCTGTTGATGTTGGTTCTAATGGAAATGTGTGTAATACAGCGCTTCCTGGATTGGTGCGTTTTTAGTATTTGGTTGCTGTGCAGACAGTAATTTGAAATGGTAGATACAGATAAAACCTGTCTTGCAACAGGTCAAGAAAACCTCTTTTGAAATGTACTGCATAGAAGTACACAAGTGATTGGGCCAAAATTTCATGTAACCTCTTCCAGCACCAGTGAAGTGGGGATGAATGGTGAGGGCCACAAAGGAAATTTATTCCCAATGGATTCCCATTGCAGGAGGTGAAGCTGAGACGTTACGTATCAGACAGTCATGTGGCTTCATATGGCAAGCAGGAGATAATAATGGTTCCTTAGTCCTCACTGACCTCCAGTGCACCATGGAAAGACAACTTCATGTACCCAGTATGGCTCATTTAAAGTTCATTAATTTGTGTGGGATTAGACCACACTGTATAGTACCTGTTTAAATCCTCTGGCTAGTCAAAACAGGATGGAAAATTCAACCTCTCACAACAATCAATCTTTTTCATATGTTTCTGGACAAAATCTACTGCGAATAAAATCCATCGCATCCCTTGCCTTATCAAGCAGACAGTGGATGATGGCAGCACTAAAAACTTGCAAGCAGTGAAAAATGCACTACTTTTATTTTGGTACCCTGGTTGCTACTCGTGATGCATGACTAAGAGGAAGTGGTTATACAGTGTGTGTGTTCTCAGCCTTGTCCACATCTTGACCCCACTGAGTTTTGCCCAGAGATGTCCTCAGAACATCTGAGTGGTTCCTATGGTCCTTCAGCAGAATCACTAACATCTGTGGTAGTTTGTAAAAGGACTGGGAATTGCTATACTGGTTTATGGAGATACAGCAGCTCCTGAGATAGATAGCTGGATTTCAAAGTGGCTGAGCAAGTATGCTTTGGTCAAAGAGTAGAGACGGAACATGAGAGTGGGCTTGAATCTCCCTGGCCACTATGGAGGAGGCAGCCAAGCCAGACTGAGAACCACTAATGAAGTTTTTGTTAATGAAAAGGCAAAGATGGGGAGATTGAAAGAGATGCTCTGTCAACACTGTTTTGGATGCTATGGGCTGAAAGGGCAGAGGAGTGTCCTGTCAGAATTAGGTCCTTAGAAGTGTGGAGCAAATTCTTTTAGGGAACACCTCACTTTCCTTTCAGTACAGTTACTGGAACTGCCCTGAGGGTCTGGCCCATGCCTTTACTAAAAAGTAATTACTTTTCATATTCCTACCCTTTAAAAACCATGCTCTAACCACAGCATGAAAATCTGAAAGCTTTCAACACTGAAAAGTTATTGGGTGAAATATTGCCCCATGAGGTTTGCAGCACATATGGCTTCACATATATAAGGGTTTTTGTACATTGCTGTGAGTTGGTACAAGTGATAGAGCCAGCTTACATTTTGAATGCTTTCCAAACAACAGTGAGGATAGTGGTGAATACATGTTGGAATGTGTAGTTAGAACTATGCTTGGTTTTTGGCTTCCCACTGATCACTTCCCCTGTACAGTGGTATTTATTTATTTAAAAAAAAAACAACACTTAGGACCCCAAACAAACCTTCTGTTTTGCAGCTCTTTCAGAGATTACGGATCTGAAGGTGCTTGGGAATCACAGTCTCCTTTAACTTTCTTCTAGAGAAAAACAAAAAGAGAAAGACAGCTGTCATTACTGAAGCATTAATTGAAGATCAGTCACATCTCAGCTCTAGTTAAAGTAATGCTAAAACGCTGCAACATCAGCATCTTTAGTGAAGCTGGTTTGGAAAGTGCAAGTGGCATGAACAAAAAGTTTCTAGGGGAGGAGCCACAAAGGGTGCATGAATTGTAAGGTTCCTGTTAGGGGCAGGCTCTTCTTAAAAGAAAATTGGTGATAGGAAGCAGCATGCCAGGTGAGCAGCCTGTGCTCTTGCAGCATTTGGAAAAGACAGCCTGTTCCCCAGGTTGCAACAGTCAGAGCCTCTCTGGAGCCAGACTAAAGGGACTGAATGCTGTTTTATGAAACAAACTCTCTTATTTTTACTGTCTGTGCTCACAATATAAAAATCTAATAAGCTCAAGGGCATTGCTGTTCAGGGAAATGACCAAGAAAATTAAATTTCAATTAAAGTTATAACAATTTATTTGATTATTATTATTTCCCATTTTACACTACTTCTGGTTACCCTTACTTTGTGTAACAGGAATGTCTCTCAAAGACAGCCTTGTCAGGACACTACTCAGTCCATACTCGCCCCAAACCCACACCTCTCATCAGCAGATCTACTACTATTTTACTATCATCACAATCTTTCATCTTATTTTATGAAGATCATTGTAATAATTAATAATAGTCTTAGTGATAGGACAAGGGAGAATGCTTTTAAACTGAGACAGAGGAGGTTTAGGTTAGATACTAAGAGGAAGTTTTTCACACAGAGGGTGGTGAGGCCCTGGAGCAGATTGCCCAGAGAGGTTGTGGATGCCCCATCCCTGGAGGCATTCAAGGCCAGGCTGAATGTGGCTCTGGGCAGCCTGGTCTGGTGATTGGTGAACCTGCAGTTAGCAAGGGGGTTGAAAACAGGTGGTCATTGTGATCCTTTTCAACCCAGGCCATTCTATGCTTCTATGATTCTATGATCCTAGGCATTACAGAAGTCATTTTACTTAACCTAGATTTGCTTTATCTGCAAAGGAGGTAGTGAATATTGCACTCAATGCTGCAAAAAATCAGGAAGGTGATTAAAGTGATCCCTCCCTTGAACCACTGAACTACAGTGTGGACTCAGATTCATCCAACGAGAAGCTCATCAACAGTCTGAATCTCCCACACTTATCAGTTAAATTAATTACAGCAGCTAAGTAAAAGCAAGGGAACACACATGGCTTACACTGGCAAGAAATTCAGCAGCTAGGTGGACTCAAAAACAGATGAGGGAAATTTCAAAGCAAATAATGATATGCCAACAGAGACAGGCAACAGCAGATCTACAATGCACAAATATATTTAAATTTAGGAACCTGGAGCCTGCAGTGGAGCTTGTGGTCTGATAACCATGGGTGTTTTAAGGCAGCAGTTGCACTTATTCTCCAGCTAAAAGAAAAACAGAATCCTATTAAGTATTTTTCCTAGAATTTCATAATTCAACAATTATCTCCTACAGGTCTTGTGTTCTGCTGTCATGCAGTGCTGTCATTTTAGGATATTTTATGCCAGATGGCAGCTAGTCCAGGAAACCACTAGCAAAAACTCATTCAGGTAACTTCAGAGAATGTTATGGACTCAGTGAACATCAATAAAATGGCATATAAAAATATTTTACATGGACATAAAAAACTTTGATCTGAAATGATAATTCTGCAGTGGAACAGTGCAAGTGATACAAGTAGGACACAGTGGTAGTGAGCACATGTTTCAAAGATCCAGGAATCACGTACCATTTTTCCTTGATGAGAAGCTTAGAGATGAAATCTTTGGCTTGCTCAGAAACATCTTGAAACTCCTCATCTTCAAAATCCCAGCTGCAGGCCAGGATATTGTTGAGAGTCTCGTTGTCATCATCACCCAAAAAAGGAGACAATCCACTGAGGCTAAGTGAAGAGGAATATGTTAAGTCTTTCTGTCTCTTTCCCTTCCTGTACATGATCTCTGATGTGACATCTATGATTGTTCTGTTACTTCTGGCCCACCTTAGAATTTTTATTATCTAAGAAAATTTCCAGACCATTCCCATTTTCTCTAATTACATTTTTAAATAATCACTTTTTCTCCCTAACAAAATAAACATTACAGTCTTTCATTGAGGGTCATATTTTTCAGATCTCTGACTGCTTTTTCAGACATATACTGAGAGTTTATCAAGAGGTCCACAGTATTCTAGTCTAATACCTAATTGCTCAAGATAGATAGTGTAGTGAAACAAAGAAGGAAAGTTAATGGTGATTGGAAAAAGAGTCAGATTCCTGAATATGGAATTTGGAAAGAGGCCTATTTCTATTTCTATTTTGTGTACAGATTTTGTCAGTCTTCCAGATAACAACAAATTTGGATGACTGACACAGATAACCTGAAAACAGCTTACAAAGCAGATCGAATCCTACTTACAGCATGTAAGCAATGACTCCTACACTCCACATGTCTGTAGGAAAGGAGACAAATTCATAATTCACAACTTCAGGAGCAAGAAATTCAGGAGTTCCAAAGTTTACTCGAAGTTTTTCCCTGGGTTTATATCTAGTCAAAGGAAACATTAATAAAAGAACATTATAGCTCTAAAGTTATATCATAAGTTGCCCAGCACTTAGTGGGATGTCAGAAGCATATGTGACATTCAGGAGGAGATCAAGGACAGATAGAAGTACAAATTAAAAATAAATACTCCCCATACATAGGAATGAAAAACATTTGTAAGCTTATATCATACTTCAGGATAAAACTCAACAACTAAACAAAGTAAGAAATTCAGATTTCAAAGATGACTTAGGGCAGCTGTTACCGTGCTTTGGAATCTTCCTCATATCATAAGTTATGGTATCTGCTTAAACAAGAAAGTGATAAAGCATGAATTGTACTGTAAAAGGCCCTGATGTTCTCTTATGCTCTCTTTTGAGAATAGAACAGACAAGGGGTTCCACAAATTTTGTCGACTTCAGCTGTACCAGTATACTTATTTGTTAGAATCAGACTCTTTGAACCTTCAATCTGAAAAAAGGCTTCAGAACAAAACTTTTTTTTACCCAACTTCAAACATTCCTTATTAAAAGATATCTTTGGAACCAACTTGTCACAAGAGCAGTAGGAGACCATTATGGGTCAAAGATGTAACTGCAAAGAGGTAATATTTCTTTGATTCTTTCCTCATTCATTTACAATTATTAGTAACATAGGCACATACCTTCTTGCCAATCCAAAATCAATAATTTTTATTTGATTTGCAGATCGGTTCACACACAGGATATTCTCAGGCTACCAAGAAAAACCAGAAAAGACTTCAGTAAGAAACAAGCATGACAAACAGAGCTTTTAGAAAACCATCGGGTGAAAACCACTGAGAAAAAGGTAAACATGCCATAAGCACCTTTTTCTTTCCACCCTGATCAGATTTCTCAGTATGGGTATAACCTCTTCTATCACACAGCAGTTGAGGTTGGGTGTTCTGTGTCTTGATAACTGCTTCTTTTTCTGCTTTTCAATTTGACATAAGGCAGCAGTTCAGATAAAGAACTTGTCGGGGGAATGAGACGGAGAACGTAGACTTCAATAGTGAGGTTTCAGGATGCTGGCATGGTGATTTTGCAGATCTTAGTAAGCTGCCACTGGAATTTTTAAAAAGTTTTTTTAAACAAATTTACTGGGCTTTGAAATTTATGTCTTTAAGTTTCTGTATTCATAGATGTTCTGGCAGTAACTGTCTGATTGAGCACTGACATTTTATGCTAGTTACAGCAGCTTTATGTTTTCATCACATATTTTACCAGAAGGTGAGATTCACAGGTTAAATCCCTCTGGATTTTCACAGGGCCAATTGTTCTTCATTCCCCTGGAAGGAATCCATTGCTTACTAAATTACTCACAAATCAAACAGAAGGGAGCGGGGATAGAATCTGGCCAGTTGTCTTCAAAATGTAAATATCTAAAATAAATTCACTGCCAGCAGTTTTATAGTTTTATATACTTTGTCTCGTTGCTCGTTTAGTCCTCTTTGAAATAAAACAGCCCACAACACTTAAAACATTAGTTAACCTTCGTCACCATTACTAATTCATTTTAAACTCAGGACTTGTAAACATCATAGGTCCATAGTTTCTGTGGTCATGGATGATTATGGTCAAGATGAATTTCTTTCAATTTCAAACATTCTTCCTCAAACTCATTTGTTACTGACAACAACCTGTGAGTAAGCAAAATAGAATGGAGAATCTGTAACTGGCCAGCACGTGAAAAGAAAGGTCTCTGAGAAGAATTCATTACATTGTATATGGGCCTCTTTGTCAGCAGTATGACATATAAAAACTGTGCCAACTCCAAGAACATGATTAATATGTCTCAAAGACTGATGTGAAATTCTTGATAGGTTTTTGGTATCTAGATGTTTATAAAGAAAGAGAAAAGTAAGTCTGGTAAAGCAAGTGAGTTGATAAAGCAACAGATCCCAATAATCGTCTGTTCACTTGCTTAACATGTGCAATAATATAAATGCTAACAACTCAGTTATTACAAGCCAAAAACAGCAGCTGTAATAAAAATCTCAACAAAGGCAAAACTCTCTTTGCACTTTTTAGTTCTTTTTGCTTTATTATAAAGCTGAGGAATACGTTATGGGGACTTTATAGACACTTGTAAAACTAAAGACATCATCCCCTTTTATTTCTGGACTAAATGTAAGAAATATATAATCATAGAGAGGTTCAGGTTGCAGAGGACTTTAAAGATCAGCTAGTTCCAATGCCCCCTTCCACGGGCAAGGTTTCCAGCCACTAGATGAAGCTGCCCAGGGCCCCCTCCAACCTGGCTTTGAATGCCTCCAAGGATGGGGAATCCACCAGCTCTTTGGGCAGCCTATGCCAGCGCCTTACCACCCTATAAATAAAAAAATTCTTCCTCATGTCTAACCTGAATCTCCCCTCTTTTAGTTTAAGGCCATTGCCCCTTGTCCTTTTGCTATCAGACTATGTAAACAGCTGTTCCCCTCCTGCTTGGAAGCTCCAACAAGTACTGGAAAGCTGTAATGAGGTCTCCCTGGTTCCTTCTCTTCTCCAAGCTAAACAAGCCCAACTCCCTCAACTTTTCTTCATAAGAGAGGTGCTCCAGCCCTTCTGTCATCTTTGTGGCCCTCCTCTGATCCTGCTCAAACAACTCTACATCCTTACTGTGCTGGGGCAGCAGGTTTGGACACAGTTCTCCAGATGTGGCCACAAGAGGGCAGAGCAGAGGGGTACAATCACTTCCCTTGCCCTTGCTGGCCACCCGTCTTTTGATGCAGCCTAGGATACTGTTGGCTTTCTAGACTGCAAGAGCACACTGCTGGCTCATATCCAGCTTTTCATCCATCAGGACCTCCAAGTCCTTCTCTGTATGGCTGCTCGCAATGAATTCTTCTCCCAGCCTGTACTCCAGATATAAGAATCGCTGCAATTCAAGTGCAACACGTTTCACTTGAGTTTGTTAAACCTCATTAAGTTCTCGTTCTCATGTGCCCACTTTTTGAGCATGTCTAGTTCCTTCTGGATAGCATCCATGCTTTCTATCATGTCAACTGCACCACTCAGCTTGGTACCATCAGCAAACCTGCAGAGGGTGCACTCAATCCCACTGTCTGTCATTGATAAAGATCTTAGAGAGCACCAGCCCCAGAATGGACCACTGGGACCACTCGTGACTGCCCTCCATCTGAATATAGAGACATTCACAACAGTCATTTGGCTACAAGTATCCAACCAATCCTTTATCCACCTAATAGTCTAGCTTTCAAATCCATATTTCTCCATTTTATTATTTAATAAAAACTTGGTTCAAGGGAAGAAGATCCAGCTCAAATGTCCAGACTATTGAAACATACCCTTACAAATTGTTTTCTAAGTGTGACAGCAATTAGCCAGTGTAAGAATATGCAGTTGGTAAATTTGGTTTTAGATAGAAGGGACTTTCTGTGTATACACTTGAATAGTTCAGATTGCTAAGCAAATAATCAATGGAGAATCCATCACTCGTTTCTGGACTTTCAGCTGTACTGGCAGTTTTTGTCTAACCTAACAGATGCTGTATTATCTGCATCAACTACTTTTTTATTACTTTCATTTAGCAAATACTTTCTTATGTATTTCGCCTCAGCATGGTGTAAATGGAGTTAATTTCTATCCTATGGCTGATGCATAAGACAGAGATCTTGCGCAGCTGAATTACATAATATTTGCACAATATTTATAGATGGAAATGGAAAAAATGAAAATAGCAAGATATTATTGCCAATATCTTTCTGGCTTTCTGTAAAATCATTCTGCAGAAAACTCAAGAGCTATGTAGCTTGATGACACATGACCATGATTCTCATCAAAGTTACTTCTGTAGTGATTTAACTGATCTCAGTGTGGCTGAAGTAAATACACATCAGTTCAAGAAAAGCAGAATAAAGTTATTTGTTTTTTCTGCCATGGGAATCTGCTAAGCGGCATGGCCTAACATTAAAGAACAAAATTTCCACAGCTGTCAGTGCGCAGAATAAACGTGTGAGTTCTCTACCTTTAGATCCAAGTGAAGGATGTACATTTGGTGCATGTACTGAATTCCCTCGCAGATCTGTTTTATGAATGAGATTGTATCCATTTCTGTCAAATTGCAGTTCTCATCAATTATTCGGTCAAATAATTCACCTCCTTCCACACTGATGAGAAAAAGACAATGAAGTGATCATCAAGTACAAGTCCAAATCCAAACCCATGCAATTACAATTGTATAGAATTTAAACTGTTGACTATTTTAAGGATTCACAATCAGGTTCAGTGAGAGGGGTCTACAACATGAGCTTGTATTCTGATCTGAGTTTCTCACATACTCGGTACTGATACATACTAGCCATAATTTCTTCAAAGTTTGAGAACCTAGTCTCCCATTCATTGAGAGATGCTGTCTTGGGACATAATTTTGCACCAGTGGAATTAATGACATCACATGGAAAACCACGACAACATGCTACACAATCTGCATTAAATCCTTGGTCTTCTCCATCAGAGCTTAAGAGGAACATGATATAAAATTTCAATTTGAAGCAACATAAAATCAATGAAAATGACTTCTTAATTTCTTATTACATTTCAGAATACCCCCATCTTACCAACTGATATCTAAGCTGACTTCTAGCTTTTGTGTTGTACTAATTGTGTAAATCAAGTTCATGCGACTGCCTACAAATATCCAGAAAAGTCAAGCTCTTCTGCCATGCATTTCAGTGTTTTAGTTGCATCCTTTTTAGCTTCCAGAAAAAGAAGCAACATCTATTTGTTTTTAAGGCAGCTATTTTGAAACTAATTAGCCTGATAAACCAGCATAAAAGACAGGTTAATCCATTCAGGCATCCAGTAAAAGATCATCCACAGCATCTACAGTAGGGATCTATTCATTGTAAGATATTCATTGTAAGTCTTTTCATTTGCCTCACAGAAGTGGAGATATTCTGAGATGCCTGTCTCTTAGTTGACACAAAATACCATCTGAAATTAAAGAGAAGCTACATAACTTCTGAGCTCTATCCTCAAATGGTATAGTGGCTTTACATCACCTGGAGTGTGGAGCATCACTTGAAAAAAATACATAAATGGCTCCGTGGCACTTTTTCTTATTTTTTTCCCAATTATTATTCCTCGGAACATATTTCATATGCCCTTTCTACCTGCTAAAAGCTTTATTTCTAATTTTGGGCAAAATAAGAAGGAAACAAACAGTTCTAGCAAAAGTGGCAAAGACAGAAATTGGAAGAACACACTTACTATTCCATGACTAGGACAATGTCATTTTTTGACTCAAAGGCGTCATAGAGCTGGATAAGATTCACATGATTCAACTGGTTCATGACACTGATTTCATTCTTTACTTCATTCTGTAAAGAATCATGAATATTGTTTCAGAGGTTGTTTTTTTTGTTGTTGTTGTTTTTTATTTTCTAAGACAGGTACATGGACAAAGACAAATTCAGTTTGAATCAGATTCTTCATGTTTTCACTTGTGTTAAGCAAATCCAAGGTTTGCCTTTGATTGTTCCTGCAATGGTAGACATCAAGGCAATAAGCACTAGACTGAACTCATAGCTTGAGTAGGGGGCTGCTTCAGTAATACGCTAGGAGAAAAAGGGAGGGGAAAAAAAGAGCAAAAGCACACATGGGCAAGCAGTAATCTGTCTAAGAAAAGTCCAGGACAGTCCTCAAAACCTCCCTCTTCAATCAGGGGGGAAAGACAGATGCCTCTGTTCAGTCCAGCTATTTTAAATGTGCAGTTTAGGGTGGCTGAGTCATTATCCAATGGTGCCAATCTCTCTTCTGACTATAATGGGATTCTTGAACAGCTTACCCACAGACAGCTATGCCTTGGAGAACCACAGATAGCTGAGACAAATCCCACCCTTGACTACCATTAATGACACAGCTGTCACAGAAAAGATGCTAGGAATGTCTTTCTTATGAAAGCAAGCCCCAGATGGCCATGAGTTTTGCAAAACAGGTCAGACTAATTCTTCTCATTTATATTTGTGTTGATGTCAGGAGCCCAGATCAAGCCTGTAATCAGCATACCTCACAGTGACATGAATTCATTGCAGTAAGGATAGAGTGGGGTGGAGGGGGAAGTAGGCTATTTCACAGGCCAGACCATCAGAATAAACACTAATAGAATTAGAAGTAGGGGGAAAAAAAAAAAAAAAAAAAAAAGGAAAGCCAAAGAAACACAAAGATCTGAAAAGAAAGTAGGAAAAGTTGTGATTAAAAAAGTAAAACAAAAAATATGAGAAAACCCAGAAAGAAGGCTTTGATGAGCAGAGAAACAGAGCTGCAGAGCCAATGGTAAGTCAGCAGGTTTTATGACTATGATGGCTTGTGAGCCACTTGGACATGGTCTGTTGAGTAAGCGAAGAACAGTGTGGGGTCCATTAATGAACAAAGACTACCAACCTTCTCTTTATCTCCTCTGGCTTTTATAATTTTGGCTGCTAGCTTGAGACCTGTTGCTTTCTCTTCACATTTGTGTACCATACCAAATCGTCCTCTAGGGAAAAAAGGGAAAAAATATTAATCAAAACCATACAGTTGCATTGCCCTTGTGTGCAAACTAAGTTATACAGAACGGAAAAAATCCTCTCCCTACTGAGTTCCATTTCAATTGCTCTATTGCTACTATGTTATTGTGTAAATCAGACTTGCTACTGCTCATTTAGGCACACCAAAATTACACTGTTGCAGTTGATATTATTCCACTTTTATGATTCATTAACATTCACTTCATTACTTCTAACATCTTTTAATGTGTGATGAGGTATCCAAGGCAAGCTAACAGAAATACATACTGTAATGATAATAACTCATAATAACTCACTTACGAGCACAATCTGCCTCTCCCCACCTCATCATTCTACCCCAAGGGAAGGCTGCGATTTCACGGTGAAACAAAGCCTACTCAAGATCATGTTGCTACCAGAAATGACAATATCACTCTATCATAAACTATGGCAGCATGAAAGATCTAGCGATTACTTGGTCTGTCAGACTAGCTTGTTATCTACCTGAAAACATTCAGGTATTTTCAGGGATGGGCTATGCTGAGGGAAAGAAGGCTACAACATGTTTCTATGTCCCACTGGCTTCGATGTGAAGTACTGTCACATCCTAGAAGCATCATGACAAAACCTGAGGGCAGATGGCTGACCTAGAACAAAACCAAATACAAGCAAAGTCTGGTGGTGCCAAACCTTCAGCCAAAATTCACTCACACAGTAAAACCAACCTCTTGTTTTAATTCCTCTCTAAGTACTGTTAAAGCTTAGCCTTTCTAGGGAGGCACGATTCTTCCATTTACCTCCTGGGGTTCCTGGCTGTAAACTCTTGCCTTGCTTTACACGTTGATTGGGTTCACTTGACTTACCCTCCCAAGATTTCATTCCTGTTGACATTATAATAACTGCTGATGCCCACCGTTTTGGCTGAAACAATCCGGTGATCAAATGGTGCTGGTGGAGTAGAAGTATCATCTACAGAAGAAAAAACAGCGTATGAGTGGTCACATGCAGTGCTTGTCTGCCTCATATATTTCAGTCCTTCTTTCCCCGAGATAAATTAATTTAAGAACTGAATAATCTTACTGTAAGTTAAATAGATATGTCTCTCCGTTATTCAGAAAGGGTTTTACTCCAGAGCTCTGGTTCAGAAAGCAGTGTCACAGAGGAGCTACACTAAGACAAGTACTCCTCTACTTAGTTAGCACCTTCTGCACTGTGAGTGTCAGGAGCAGCATGAGGCTAGACTGCTAGACTAAGCCAGTGCAGCTTCATGCCCACAAGACAGTTTGTTTAGAAGATTTGGAAGGATTTTTTTCCTATCCAATTTTTAATTTCCCAGGAACTGTTAATAGATGAGTATATACTGTAATTCTCTCCTGGTATAGAAAGAGATACAGAGCTTTTCTGTAAGCCCAGCTAGATGATGTCATCTCCCTTCTTATGGTGTTCATAGCAAAGAATCCCTTCTCTACTGGCCATCTGATTGATACAATTTGTCATGCTCCCCAGCATTGTGTCTGCCTTTAGAGATTGCATTAACTGCTTGTGCACACAATGGAGTTTCATCCTGTCATGTAACACTTGGGGCTTCCAATATGGCTCAGGGTCCGATGTGGTAGACACACACTGCTTTGAAGAGCTGCTATGCTTAAAAAAGAAGACAGGTAAGTGGAAAAGAGAGACACAGTAAAGAGATGGCTTCCTTGGAGCACAGACACAGAGTTTTGGCACAAATGTAGATCTCCATTATTATTGTCAAGACTTTCGCACGCGGGATGTTCTGCCATCCTCATATCAAAATCTCTGCTGGATACCAGCCCTGCATGCGTGATTTCTCTTTGAATATTTTGCAGGACATTGCGATTCCAAATTCATACTCATGTTGTTTTTCACTTGATTGATATTGCCAGGAGTGACCTTTGGCTGACCAAGGTGACAAATACTTCAGCTGGTTGGGAGGGTTAGAGCCACAGTGCTTTAACATGAGCTCTCTGGTCTGGAATGCCAGGTCTTTTTTGTGAGGGGCTTGTCGAGCAATTTGAAAACCATTCATTCCTCCAGTGAAAATGATTAAAACCACAAACAAAACAGAAGAAAAACATGACAGCATGTAGCTGGCAGGAACACTCATTAATGTAACAGTGGAGTGTCCTTTTTCAAAGCAAATATCCAGGATACCAGCTATGTACCTAGATTTTTTTGACTGTTAATAACTTACATGGACAGGAAGTTAGTTCATGGTCAAGGAATTGTGAAAAGCTGGGGCTCCAGAGGTTTGCCACCTACTTGTGATTCTGCAGAGCTTGAATTGCATGTCCTTAAGTATGAGCCTTTGTATGTTACCAAAAGGAGCATCTACCCTAAAGGCAGAATTTGAGCCTAATGACACAAACTCCAAGGGCCCCAGCATGTAACTGGTGGAAGAATATGGGGTTTTGAATGTTCAGCTCTCAAATGTTACCAAACTTTGAGCAAGAAAGTGCTCATTTAAAGAAGTCAGATCATGTGTCTGAGTTTTAGCCTTCAAGATTTTTTCAGTGACAAATCCTCCATTTTTCTTTTACTGCATACCAAAGGGGATTTCTCACTATTCAAGAATGTCTTGCTGTTACAGATGAAAGACACTCCAAGAGAGAGACACTAACTTTAATGCCATCCCTAACAATCTGCCAGAGCTCAGGACAGCTTATGAGTTGAGATTTTTAGCTTACTATCTCCTGTTTTTGTTAGAGAATCTAAGAACCTCACACAGATATTTAATTCATTGTTTCCTTTTCCCACTCCACCCTGCATTCCCAAAGCAAAGAAAACCATTGTTTCCTATGTGTGTGCATGCATATGTAAACATCTTCAAATCCATCAGGCCATCACCTCATGTTTCATCATTTATGTGCAGGGATAGGCACTGAAATTCTCAAGCAGAATTGTTAGGTGTTAGAAATCTCTGCTTCACTCTGCTTCAGAATTCAGTGCCTGAACACCATTTATACAACTTTTCAGCAGCATCAGTCAGGCCTCCACACAGCAGTTTGTACTTCTTTATTTTATAGACTACAGTTCTCACTTCAGATTGCTATAGCACTGATGTGAGGAACCTGGTTTTTCAGACTACATCCAGAACACTGTGGTTAATATATGTTCTTAGCACCTCCACAAGTCAACCAGTTTTGTCACACATTATGTAATTCCTCCCACTACTCCATGTCTGAAAGTTCTAGCTCTCTGTTGTCAAAAGAAGAGGGAAAGAGGATAGTATGAGTGGAGTAGTTGTGGCAAAAGCAAATCAGTTGTGACTAATTTCTGTAAGAACAGAAGCCTTTATGAAAAGATAAGCCAACTCCTCAGGTAATAAATGTTGGTAGAATTTGATGGAAGCAAACAGAACTATCACATTTCCCATCACTTTACGATGTGGTCCGTGAACAACTGCTTCCCACTGGGGCTACCATCCACTTTTTTCCTCTTACTAATTATGTTCTTTATGTCATTATTCTCTATGGATGTCTTTGTCTGGCCATCACCCTCAATACTGGTGAAATAAAATGGTTTGGTTTTGCCTTTAGAAATACTTCCTGCACAAGCCCTGGATTTTATTTTAGTTTTACACGTTCCATCAGAGCTTTCTGCATGTAGCTTGCTCTGCTGTCATCTTTGATTAGGCCTTCTACATTCACTCAAAGCTTACTGCTACCATATACTGAAATTGGCAGATCTGCTCAATGACTGAACTATGATTTCCTGTACCTTTTCCACAGCCTTTACACCTGCAAAGACAAAACATGGCATTAGAGCAAGGTACACTTAAAGCAGAGAAAATTTAGAAATATATGTGAAAAACACCTACACACATACTGCATTCAAACATTAGGCTATTTTGCTTAATGGTGTAAAATAATACGGTTAAATAAACTGATTTAATACTCAGAGGAATAAAATGACCTCTAAGTAATCGTGACAGCAGAATGATTCTTCATTACTGAAATGCCTACTTGAGTTCTACTGATTTTAACATTTGACTATCAATCTCACCTTTAAAGCAATGGGAGAGGACTGGGATTTCACTCTGTTCTTATAGGTTCCTGAGAGCTTAAACTGGTTTATCCCTGAAAGGCTAAATATAAATGCAGCACAGAAAGAACTACAGTAAACAAGTTTATCAGTATAATTTTCTGGGCAAAGTTTTACAATCTTATATTATCAAGTTACTAAATTTTGTAGTAACTTAATTTGCAAATGGTACATGGCCTAACCTAACCTTAATTTGTTCATATGTTGTATGATGCTGCAATAAATAAACATTACAGAGTGGGAGAATGCTCATCAGTGACTAAGAATAGCATATCACAATTCTCATATTATTTCTTCTAAGCAAACAACCAAAATACACTGCCAGTACTATGTATGGTAGATTGACTGTCTGTTTTCAGGCTTAGAGATTAGAGACAGATGAACTCATTTTATATTTTTGTATCGGACTGGATTTTCACTAGTATTTATACTAATTAGTTACTTTGACTTAAAACCTGACCTACATGTTTTTCTAAAGCAAGGGTCTCTTAAGAATGCATAGTCTGAGTTTCAGGCCTTACATTCCCTCCGGTGCCTCTTGATCATAGCTTTGTCCTGCCTCATCTTCATTTTGGGAAGATGCTGATGGCTCCTCATCCTCTTTTTCATTATTACTATCAACTCCCTCCCCTTCATTCATCCTCTCTTCTTGTTCTTCAACTCCAGGCACCTGTTGCTCCTCCTTCGTCTCCTCGTCAGCTGACTCCCTCTCTATCTCCTGCCCAGTTATCCTTTGACAAGCATCATCAACAGCATCATTTTCTTCCTGTACTGAGCTTCTCCTGTAGCAGCTTTCAAAAGCTATTTCTTCTTTCTCCTCTGTTTCTTCAGAATGAGATTCAGGAGAATCCATCTGTAGCAGAACAGTACTTTCCCTCTCAGCATTTTCCTTGTTGAGCTTATCGACTTCTTCTTTGTGACAACAGGACTGGCTGTTCTGGATGACCCCCTCTGAAAGTAAATAGATCAGCAAGAAATATGTCAGTAGTTCTCTTAGAGTCAGTAACCATATTGAAGTAGAACTTGCATGCTCAAAATCACCTCCACTGTATTTTGAACAAAGCACTTGCTTTCTTCTCCTACTTTCAAGTTCAGTGTAAATATCTCCTAAGTGAATGAAAAGCCCTAAGCTTCAGCAGAGTTCTTTTTCTTCAGGACTGGGACATCATGGGCCTTTCAGAAACAGCAGTGGAAAAAGCTTTTCTCATTCAAATTTATTGTCAGGTTAACGAGACCCTCGAGCAAAGCTTTTCTTTGAGCAGTTTACCACCAACAAAGCTGGTGAGGAGTCTTAAGCAGAAGTCTTACAAGGTGTGACTGAAGAAACTGGGCTTGTTTAGTCTGGAGAAGAGGAAGCCCAGGGGAGACCTAACCACTCATTACAACTGCCTGAAGAGAGGTTGCAGTGAGGTGAGATGATTGCTCTCTTCTCTCAGGTGCAATAGGACCAGTGGTAACAGCATCAAGTTGTATCAGGGGAGGTTCAGGTTAGATATTAGGAACAATTTCTTCTCTGAAGGAGTAGTAATGCATTGGAACAGGCTGCCAGGGAGGCAGTGGAATTGCTGTCCCTGAAGGTGTTCAAGAAATATGCAGATGTGGCACTGATATGGTTAGTGGGCATGGTGGTGATGGGTCAGTGGTTAGACATGATCTTTGAGGTCTTTTCCAACCTTAATGATCCTATGATTCCATAATTCTTTACACATAGACACATGACAAGTTGCTAGGATGTGATGGCAACATGTTTCTTGTACTATTCTCATGTATGCTGGTGAGCACATACAGAACCCAAGCAAGAGCTGCTCAGGAGAGCACAGGTGACTTCTGTGAGGGTTATTACTGAAGTAGTAAGGACTTTGCAGCTTTGCTCTTAGGAACTTGAAACTGATCAGAAGAAGAAACATTCTAACCTGCTGAATCTGGTGGTTCCTCCTCTTGTATAGAATTTGTTCCCGTCTCACTCAAATGCAACTTTTCTTTGACAACCTGTGGAAAAGGCAATAGATACATCAGTCAGCAAACAGAGTGTTCACGTTGCATTGTTCCTCATGAATCTGCAGCCTGATTTATCTGGTGAGTCCAAGTAATCTGTGATCTGCCCAGAAAATATCAAGATTGAGCCACAGGGACTTAAAAGCGTTCCAGAGATGAGTTGTTACCCTGTACTAGCTTTTGCTGTTAAAACTAGTTTCGTTAAAGGAAAACTAGAAATATTTAATATTCTACCAAAAAATTTAGTAGCAGTCTTACTGAAAACAATTAAAAAAGATGTTTGCTGTTAATCCACATCTGGTAACAACATTTTTAACCATCCAACAATTTATTACAGGCTGACTGAGACAGTTACCAGGAATCAAGAGAGTATAAACCATCCTGACAGCTTTCTAGTGTGCTCTCATCTGTATTTTACAATGTTACAGTGACATCTAGAGGTGCTTTATGCCTTGCCAGCTCCTCAAAAGCAGCTATTACCTCTACGTTTATGGTTATTTACAAATATTTTTATGCCGTTTGCTCAGCGTGTTTTTTCATCAGTCACTCCTAGACTTGTGGTAGGATGGTGACTAGTGTTTCTTTTCCACCTGCCTTCTACGTACAGTACTATGAAACCAATGCTGTCATTTAGTAATGTATGTGAAGGGTGTGAAAAATGCAGAAACTTCCAAATATTTTCCAGAGAGACTACATTCTCTCTTTGAGCATTGTAATGCGTTTCAACAAAATGTACAGGGTCAGGCACTAAATTTTGACTGTTTCAACCATGTAAGTTGGTGGTGTTGCTTTAATTTCATAAAGCTATATAGAAAACATGCATGAAAGAAAATCAATGAGAAACAAAAACAGTTAAGAAAAACAAGATAAAATTGCATGAAAGGATTTCGGCAGGACTTCTTCAGAAAATGTTGATCTGCAAGGGACAAAGAAACTGTGATGTGAACATGAGAATTGAGGCTGAAAATTATTCGGGATGCAGTTGTTCCCAGGAAGTTGCAAGCTGCAAAAAGGCCTAAATAGAACTAGCCAAGTACCCTTGAAAAATAAATCGGAGCCTTGTTCATATGGAACTTAAATATAAATGTCTTCACAAAGAATCAACCAATGCTTAGTCTGTTTTTCATGGTGGAAAGTGCTGAAAGAAGCATGGAAAACCCTTGGACTTACTCATTCTGCAATGTGACTGCAATTAGTAATGCACTCAGATTCCTGTAAGTATGTCAACCTCACCACACCACTGAGGACATCAGCTCTGATCAAATACAGTCAGCTGAGCAAATAACCAGAGAAACTGCCTCTGAGCTCTTTGATGCATGGGGCCAGATTTCACTTCTGCGTTCAGAACTAATTGCAGGCACACAGTGCTTCCTACTAAATACTGCTCTAGTTTGCAGGTGTGAAATACAGAAGTCAGCTTTTGAAAATCCACACCTAGTGGAATATTGGATGATGCCGAAAATCTGAAGCTGCCAGAGTCTTACATAAAATACTACACTGTTTATTCAAGCATCACTTCTGATCTCTTACATTTTAATAGCAGATGAGGAGCTCATACTAATTCAAACGAGAGGGAAAAAAAAGAATACAAATAAAACATTTACTGGCAATCTTCAGAATAAATAAATGTAACTATTTGCAGTAAGTATAAAGCAGTAGTGCAGCAGAATAAAAAAACAAATGCAAGGACTAGATATTTGACTAGTACAATCTGTAGACATATCAGTGATATATGCATGTGCATTCCAGTTCTCTCCACGTGAAGGGCTTTGCTTTTAGTACCAACATGTGACTTCAATTTGTCAAAACTTAATCCAGCAGTAAAAGCACGAGCTTGCTCTCATTATTTCTTCCCCTCAAAGGGTCAGATTGTTCCAAGTCTACTAGAGCTGGCTGAAGTCAATGGGCTCCTTCCTCCTGGCCAGACTCCTGCTGCAGGAGACGTGGCAACCTGCCCTGAGTTCATCCAGGGCACGTGTCCCCAAGATGTCCACCTGGGTAGAGACACCCATTGCCAAGATGTCTACGTGCAGGCAGCCAGGCCAGTCCCCCCAAGAATCTGCAGCCTGTGAGCACCCAAGGCCATCATGCTTTTCTGAAAACTTCACCTGAAAAGCATAGAAGTGTCTTAGTGGCATCCATCCTGCCTGCCTACTGTTCATGTTTCTTCCTTCAGTCTGATAACTGTGCTCTTTCAAGAGATCTTTTAATTCAATTCTGGTGAGGTTTCATTTATTCATGTATTATTCATCCTGAAATTTGGTGACGTGTGATTCTTTTCTGTCTATAATTTCTAAAAGTATATGAATCAATATTTCTTAGTGCCAATTAGACTTCCACCCTATTGCTTTGCCTCTATTTAATGATCTGAATATATACAACTAGGATTATGGCACTACAGACATTTTCCCTATCCATACCAGCCCAAAGTTTTCAATGAAGTTTTCATTTTAATACCAGAAAATGTTAAGTACTAAAGGTTACACTGTGATGCCACAAAATATACCAAAGTAAAAAGGTGCCTTCACCTACAAAAGTTGTTACTGTGCATTCAAAAACACATTTTGTAAACTAAACAGACTCTTTCATAAAGAACTTTGCTGGAGTCTAAGTAACAGAGAGAGAATAAAAACCCACATGGTGATAACAGAATAATGCAAGATATTCTGGAGACTAAAACTTTTGAAAATTCTTTAAATTGACTTTTAAAAGTACATCATGAACCTTGCAGAAATTAAGCAATAAGAAATCATATGTATAAATATAATATATTTTAACAGAGATTTAAAATGCAGTGAGAGATTAATGTCTTTTTATAGACATCTGACCCTTTTTTAATGAGCTGCACTTAGTTAAATTCCTTCTTTATACCGAAGCAGTCTTAACCTTGGAATGTTTTCCTAGCTAACTTTCAATTTTTTTGTACAGCTAATAAAACTCTTTGATTTTTTTTTTCCTATTTAAAAAAAAATAAAAAAATTGTAATGAATGGCCTCATGAAGCAGCCCCAAGTTTTTAGCTAGAGGTCCTTTATCACTCCATCACATTTCATTTGATGACAAGATGTTATTCTCAATTTCACTCATCTGAGATCAAGACATGCAATATTGCACACATCTAGAACACTTTTCTGGCTTAGTTTCTATTTCTCAAGTTCTTAAAATATGTTGTAGCTCATTGTTACTACAAGATATCCTGGCTTAGTATCAGCTCTGATCACCATCCATTCATCAATATGACTGTAGTTACTCAAGCTTTGTGAAGATTTCATTTCATTCACATCCAGAAATTAGCCATGTTTTTTTTCCACCTGACCACTATGAGATGAATGCTCTCAGTACTTCACACGTGGGAGAATGCATTGTGTACAGTGGAGGTCCTGGGGTACCAGAATGCATTGTGATGACTCCTGCACTATCCCCAGAACCCAGTGCTCAGCCTCTCCTTCACTTTTATCTTCCTCTTCAATATTCATTCCTTCCTTGTCTTCCTTCCAAGAACTCAGCAATGCTGAGCAATTCTGATACAAACTTATAAATGGTAGAAAATGCACACATGGGAACTCTAATTTCATGGCAGGTGGTACATCTGCCACGTGACTTTATTTTTTGCTATGCTACACAATCCACTGGTACCTTCTGGCAGAAAGAATATCTTCCACAATACTTACAGTGCTCTTTGAAGTAGATAAGAAATCACTCTTCTATATAATTCAAACACAAATCACAAGGATCTTTCAATCACACGTGAAAATGAGTTTAGCCATGAGAATCATAATTCCCTCTCTAGGAAATATAAGAGAGTTTGTGTGTGACATGCTGTCTCAAAAAGCCATTGGTAGTAATCTATGCATGAAGACACATACTAAAAGCAGAAAACTCCCTTAGGATAACATCATCATAGGTGAGACTGCCTCACATCTCTCCTTCTCCACACTTCTGGATGTCTTCTCATGTGTGATCACTGACAGGGTCCCATGTGCTTCACAGGTTGCTCATGTGCATCATATATGCCTGCACCACATCCCAAGAGCTTTCTAGGTGCCATTCTCCACATTTTTCACGTTACTGTTAAATGTCTCATTCTCTGTAGTGAGCTCCACTGACTCCACTGTGAGAAAGCAGGGGAAAAGTCCAGCTCAAAACTCAAAAATCTCCACCTATCCATTACTAGAGCAATTTTGTGCTACAGCATCAGTTAAGAAGACTCATTCATATTTCACACCTTTACTAACCTATCTGTGCTAAGCATGTAATGAAATCCACAGCAAATATGTTCAGACTTCTTGAACAATCCTTCACAAGCCACTTTTGGGAAATCACACCGCTGGGAGACTTCCAAAGAGTTACAAACTTCAAAAACCATTCCCTGCAGCTTTGATGACTCACTTTTAATTGGACTCCAGAAACACAGGTTTCCTGAAAATGAACTTCATGTAACATGAAGGGGCTCTGGGTGTGTGGGGAGGGGAAGTTCTCTTCATTTTCCCTTTACAGACATGTTTTCCTGTGGGACCTCACCACAAAGGCAGCAAAAAAGAATGTGCTTGGACTCATCCCAGGCTCTGCTGGGGCTGCTGCCCAGCCAAGCATCGCTGCTCCTTGTCACTGGTGCACATGTATGCAAAGCCCAGGATGCTGCCAATGCAACACCAAATCAAATACATTCCTGAGTAGTTTCCCTTGTCATCAAAAGCCAGCATGATGAAGCTCTGCATTTAATTGCAATGGCTCTCTCTCCTACAGGAGGAGGCATTCAAGCATGGTATCCTACCTACCAGCAGATATATCTGACCCCTGCTAGGGGACACCTGAAAATTGATTGAAGAGGTAGAACTCCTGATGTCAAAAGGTGGACTGTAGATAACTGGAGTGAGCAAAGACTTCTTCCCTGGGCAAATCCCTCCTACTACTGTCTCTTCTCTTCAAAGGAGCCTTCTTTTACAGGACTGCTCCTTGATAACCTTTGTCTTGCTCTCCTGCACTCTCTAGTTACATCTGTATCTCACGAGGTCTCTTTAGATTTGCAAAGGAATGGCAGTGGATTCTTAAAATGGTGGCAGTAACACACAGGCATTAATGTCATACCAAAAAGCCATCCAAGGCTATGTGCAGGTATTTAGAATTTGGTAGTGCCTGCTTTGATTCCACACATTCCTCAGGTAAAGAAGGAGCAAAACCACAACTGCAGTGCCCAGGGCTGGATCCTATCCAAGGAATATTGACAGCAGAGGGCAAGTTCAGGTGCTAAAAGAAAGCAAAAGTATACAATGTTCTGAATTGGAAGTGCATGAAAAACCTCCTATTGGTGTCAGTAAGGGAGAAAGCAGGGCAAAACGAGATGAAGATGTCTTGTCTGGAGAAAACTTAAAGGCTTGATAAACAGCAAAAGTGAGGGAGATAATTATAACTCTAATAATGTATGGCTCACTCAAAAACTGGATTATCTCTACTGAGGACAGATTTGGAGAAAGGTACTGGTTCCGAGGAGCAGAGAAGCACTCCCAGTTATAAAGGCAACTAAAGCCACTGACATTGTGTTGCCCAAGCAGCATACAAATCTACTGAGATCCTGCACTAAGACTCTACCCTCTAAACTACTGAGGATTGCAGAAACTCTTGCAGACAGAATTAAAGAAGAAAATGAAACAACTCCTGCCTGTTTGGCTGGAATATGAAATATTTACAGAACACGGCCAATGTGGAAAGAAGGAAAATAATGCATGAGGGACCAGTTAGTACTTGTAGGCAAAATGAAGGAATCAGAATAATGGTTACAAGCTGAGGCTGAATGGATCTTAAAACACAGATTGCAAACAGAAGTTTAATTGCCGACTTCAATTAAAGCCATGAGTGACTTGCAATTGCACTGTGATACCTGTGCTGGAGGGACAGAGGGTTCAAACAGAAAGCACAACTCCCAGTGCTGGTGAGTTTTAATGTGGGAAACAGCCTCAAACTGCTCATAGTTTTTAGTCCTGTGGAAAAGCCTGTTGAAATGGCAAGTGACCAAAATTACAGCAAGTTGCAAGCAAATGCAGAAAGTTCCTCATCACTTTATGATGGCAACAAAATGGACTTCCTGACCCTCCAGGTGAGCATTTCCAGGTTAATAGCATAGAATCGCTAAACTGTTTAATTTGGAGGAAATAAGTGAAATATTATTTTACCCTCCTTTCTGATAGGTGGAAGGAACAAGACTGAAAGTGGAGTCACAGTGTCATTTTGCAACAGGATTATCACGGACGACTTAGAAAGGTGAAATTGAGGAAAACCTCAAGATTTTAAAGACACTGGTGTAGAACTGCTGATTTCCCTGAGTGGTAGTAGTAAGAAAAACAACTCAGAAAACAAGTAATGCATGCTTCTCCTCTCAGCCACTGGTGATGGGGTCATGCCGTATGTGGTGGAAAATGGCTGGGAGACATTTGGCAGTGCTGACAAAGCGTGAAGTGTCTGCAGTCTACACAATATTATAACTTCAGCCCAAAACAGAAATAAACTGAGCTCCTGTACAAGGCAGCAGTGGTATTTCAGGATGGCAGTAAAAGGCAGGAAAACAGAAATTTTGCTTCAGAAGAAAGTGATCCCTGTATTTTGCAGAGCACAAGAAGTCCCAGTGGGGCCTGTGATCTGGAAACTGTTCCAGATGCTGCTGAAGCCAGAAAAGAAATTGCTTATCATCAGCTACTTATCAGCACTTCTTTACATCTTTCCCATTGCCCTTCTTCCCATCCAACAGAAGCAGTCCCCTTTTTGTTTGTTCCACCTCTTCAACTGCTCTCTGTCCAATTCTATAAGACTAACCAGTTAGGAAAGGGTCAAAACCAATTCTACAATTAATAAAGCAAAGAGCACCTCTCTAAAGAGGGAAGGATAGGAAGACAGGTGACTAAGCAGTATGTGAACACAACACACCGCTTTATATGGATGCATCATGGCCACCTCTTGCACAACCTACTTGCAATTAGGGCTGACTGGATTATTTTGCAGATCCAGGCTGAGGACAGCCAGCTATCTGTCAGGCAGCTCAGCCACCTCAGCTCAGCAGCACATGGCATGGCCACTGGGAAAGGTGGGCAAGGCACATCATCCCAAACATCAGATCACATCCAGCAGTGCACAAAAACAGGTACTGTCTTTCCAAACAGGCGAATGGCCATAAGGAAACAGAACAGAGCTGAGCATGTATAAACTGATGGCAGGATTGCTCAGTAAGGCCATATGGAGGCCAACCAGGATAACAAAGATGTTGGTCTTATTGACTGGTGGCTGGCAATTCTGCACTGTTGGAAATTGCTTTCAGGTGGAGACCAGGGACAGTAATAAAGATTTTGCTAACAGAAGCAAGGGTGTCAGATAACTGGGTAGGTCTATTCATTGCTGTGCCACCAGGTATCACTGGTACATCTCAGGTGCAAAATTCTGCAAGGGTGAGAAGATATCTAACCCCCTATTTTTCAGTTTCTTAGCCTTTCTTTTTCCTTTTGTCACAATAATTTAAAACCTCACTTGTAAATCTGTTTTGAATATGTGGCAGGCAGAGGCACAAGGCACCAGCTTCACAGAGTCTTATGGACCATGCTTCTTACTATCTTGCTCAGAAATGTTTTTCACTATTAGGCAGAAGAGTTTGTCCTGAATGCAGATAAATACTGGCTGCTACTAAACCAACAGGCATGCTGAGTCTCTGCTGAGGGATACTGTACCCTCCCATTGTTCTTAATGTAGTGCTGAATTCATGTTTTTACTTAGAACTGAGTTAACTAAGTGTTTACTAAAGCCATCTGCTGTTCAAAAGAAAGGCAGATAATTTTATGATGGTCCTATGCTAATAAATCAAACACACAGACAGGAAGGTAATGACAGGCTAACATATGTATGCTATCTAATAAAACAAACAAAATATTAGCAAAGTAATACTATCACCAGCATGACTCCAGACATGTTCCTTCTGCCTTTCATAAGCCCTGGTGCTAGACAGGGCTTAAAGGACTAAAGACTCCTTACCTCCCCAAAAGTCACTCTGAACAACAGTGGAATAGTGAGGAGATTACAAATGGAGATGCTGCTGGAATAAAGGCAGAGATCCAAATCACCCCTCCTCTCTTTGGGTCTTTCTATCAAATCCCAGCCTGCCACGCTCTACTACACATCTGGAAACCCTCCCATCCCATCTCCCTTGTCAGGAACATCACTTCCCCAGCACAGCATCAGCCATGACCTGCCTCATCTGCTGCACAAACCAGCACCCACACATTCACCAGTGAAGCAACCATGGTCACCTTCTCTCTCTTAATCCACAGTTGTACCACAGACAGCTTCTGTCTCAGCAATCCTGCCGTTACTTAGGTGACTTGTGGGCCTCCCTGTGAATAGGACTTTCACAACAGATGTTTTCACTGATGTTTTAAAAAGCAAAAGAAGCCATGAGATCAAAATAAATAATCTTTTCTCATTGAGGTAATGGTACAAAAGGTGAAAAATTCTCCTTTGTTCAAATTCATTCATTGAAATTAGTCCAACTTGATGTTCAAAGAAGGCCTGTAAAAACCACTTTTACTGTTTGTGCTGTTTAGCAGGGCAGCTGTTTTTCCCTTTAGCTACTGAAACAAGGCTGCACAGATTATACCATTACATAGTGGTGAATCATCCAGTTCAATGGACTGATCTTTACAGGATGCTCCATTGCTGCTACTCAGCAGTGGCTACTGTTAAAGTTCCTGGCTCAAACACATCGTGTCTAAGAAATGAAACTGCCTAAGAGCAAGCAAGCTAAAAAGCGCCTGGTATGCTGAGGACAGCTTTCCAAGTAACACTGGGCACCTATTTTCAAGGAAGGTCATTTCCATTAATAACTACACATGGTTCTTCTTCTGCTCAAAAATTTGAGATAAATTCCTTAAATTACTCTTCAATGATCAAACAGTGAAGTCTGACTGTGATTTTCTGCGGAGAAGAAATAAAATGAATGCAAAAAAGAATAACAAAGGCAACATTTTTAGCTCATTCTGGTTTCAACATATTTGTTAGAAGAAACTTCTTATTTTTCTAGTGCTACTGGGCTTCTTTAAGCTATGAAGAATATTTAAGCTACCTTACAAGAGTCTATGATAATCAAAGGAGCCTTTTTTGTGTGTGTTCTCTGAATCTGGCCTGTAAAGAACATAACAAAACTCCCGTTATGGTGACACAGGCATTTTTCCTCCAAGGAAGTTTACAAAAGCTGCATCTCCAGTTACAGTAACCTTACCTAGGATCCCAATTTAGAACACCTCCCTCCCCACTGATGTCAGCAAAAATACAAGATCAGAACATCAGAACAGTTAAGTTCCTCTTTGGAATAAAGGACATCACACACATGCACATTCCTGTTCCAAAGTCTATTGTAGTCATTGGAAGGTTTTTCAACAGTTTCACTGAGCTCTGGACCACACAACATGTAACATGACTGCTGCAACTTGATTTAACTCAACAATTATAAATCCAGTAAAATGTTCAAGACCCAAACCTACTGATCTCTGTTACAATCTTCGTCACTGATGTCAGTGACCCCTAATTATGTTTTATAACAATGAAGAGATCATTAGAAAAAAGCAGAGGTAGTAGTCAGAGGTGAGTAGATTTTTGTATTTTTTTTACCAAAACTTGCTCGGTTTGTTCTAATACATTTCATTTTTCTAAAGAGCATGGGTTGTTCTCTCTTAAATGTTAATGAAATGGAAAAGCTAAGCATGTAAGACAACATATCTGTGGCTTGCAATGATTCTTGACAAGATGAGAAAGAAACCTAGGCTCACCTTTTCACTCCTCTTCTTGAGCAGAGCATCAGCTGTTGTCGCTGAGAAAATCTGCATCCCAAAACCATGTCCAGCTGCTTTTGTATAATCACCTGCCTTGCAAAGCTTACGTTTCAGAATATGATGTTTTCCACATGAATGGTGAATTATTAATGCTTTAACCTTCTCAGCCAGAGGCCCTACAAGCTTCTGTATTGCAGAAACGCTTTGTTCCAGTCCATCCAGTCTTTTAACTTGCTGCTCTGCATTCCTGTTTATATCAGAAAGAGATTTCTTCATCTTAAGGCAAAGCCTCTTCATTTGATTATTTCTCAGATTTTTGCTTCTTTCCATTTTCAATCCAGGCTCAGATGTCTCCGCTTTTACAATCTCGATGTCTTTTTCAATGCAATAGATTTCTTGGGAAACGCTGTTCAGTTTCTTAAGCACATTGTCTTGCAGCATCAACAGCTTATCTATTTTCTGTTCAAGGAAGGCAAACTTCATATCCATGACGTTAAAACTTTCAGTGCTGACATCACTGCTTACAACACGACGAATCTGCGGGGGCTCCATTGTATTATCAGACCTCTGGCTTTGCAAAGCATTTGGATCAAACATTTTTGCCACGTTGTTGACCATAGATGTAGAAGAGCTTTGCCTGCTGGATGTGGTCATTTTGCAAGTTTAGGCTGGGGGAGGAAACGCTCTGATGCCCAGCTGCTGAGGACGGTATCAGTTGCAAAGGCTTCCCATCCAGACTGTACTGGTACACAGCCTACTTTATTGACTCCAACTCAACTAATTAAGTAACTACTCTTCCACATTTGACTAAAACAGAGGAAAGAGACACCCAAATTACTTAGGAAGAAAAGCGCCTTGAATCCATTAATAATATATATGCATATATCTGTTTCCAAATGAAGCAAATAGAGAGATGAGCATCCTAAATGCACTCGGTTCAGTGACATCAGCCCTAGCAGGGACAGAACTATTTGCACTCCAAGGGAATTTGTCAGCAAAAACGCTACATGATACATGAGAAGTAGAGACACTTTGGCAGTAGTGCTGCTCCTTTCCAGAAGCCTAATATGTAATGTGATCCTTGCTCTGAAGAGAATAAGGGCCCTGTAAGGGCCCTTAAGCATGGCTGCTTGAAATTGCTACGTCTTAAGGTGAGATTTTCAGATGAAAGCCTCTATTGCTTGAGAAGCATCTTATGCCAGCAGGAAGGTGATGGAGTTGTTAAAAACAAATACACTGAGGAAAGTAAAAGAAGGAGATGCTGAATGGAGATTTGGGGGAAAAAAAAAAAAAAAAAAATGAGAGTCCTATTCTCTGCTTAATATTTCAGCTACAACGTATCTAGCTCTCTACACAAAAGCAATTCCCTTCACATCCAAAATCTCAATTTATATCTGTATTTACTGAGGCTATACTAACTTGCTACAAATCAAGGGGCTCTTACATTTTATTGTGATCTGTCATCCAAAATTCCAAAAATTGATAGACTTTCTTTACTTTGCCTGTCAGAACATGTCATAAAAACAGTGATTAATATTAATAACTCAGACAGTCTGCTTAATTTTTGCGAAAGACTTTCATTCTTTTCAGAAGGACAAGATTGGACAAAGAAGAATCAGCCTGAATGGGAATAGGATGAGTCTGAATTGCTAGACATTTCTCATGTTAGTTAGAAAAATAAAAGGAGATTTTAGGAAGTAAATATTAGAACCAGAGCTTTTCATTTCAAGTCAATCATATTCCATGTGAGCTAAAAGCACATCGGTATGGATCACTCTGATGGAAAAGGGGTGCTTTTGAGATACAAGGAAAAGACTGCCTCAGACAGGTGGCTGTCATAGACTGACCACACATAGCACAGTCTGCACTTGTGCAGAATCTCACAGAATGCAACAGGTAAAGTCAGCTGTTGGAAAACAGGCAGACTGTAGCCCTGCTCAAAGGAACAAGAGCTTCTTTTGTGTGCTCCTGCGAACCAGGAGAAACCAGCCTCAGTTTATCCATCCTTTTAAAGGCGAGCGTGAGGGATAACTTGCTAAAGCATGCAGTGAGTTCTGAATATCTAGAGCACTGAATATTCTATAAAGATTGGTTCTGTTCACAAACTGAAGGATATGAAAGATCTCCTTATTTCTGGGTGCCTTTTACAGTCAAACACAGCCGACGTTTTAAAAAGTATTTTCTCACAGTCATTTATGAATCAGTATACAGCCAGTGTTGATAAGGTAATTCAGCAGCTTGTTCTCAGGTTACCACAGGTTAATAAAGGAAAGAAGTTCCTAGGCACATTTGTCACCTACTGGGAGCAGCGTGTTACTGTGACTGAAAGGTGAACTGTGTCCATGCATGACGCTGAAGCGTGGAACAAAATCTCTTCTTTACATAACAGACATTACCAAGAGGTGACCACCATGTGTCATTGTGCGTAGCACGTTCTCTGAGCGGACCGAGAAGGTTAAATGATTTTAAAATAGGAAGCAGGACAGGAGGGAAGAAAATGACAGGGAATTTAGGGATCCCTATTTCATGGGAAGAATAATATACAGAGCAGCAGTTAAAAAAAAGAAGATTGAAGCAAAGAAAATCGTGGAGGCTCCTGCAGAGAGCAGTTATGTTTAAATCCCTTTGCCTTTTTCCATTCATCCCTGTTAGAAAGATAAACTAAACCCTCCTGACAGTTTCACATCTGCAGAAGCCTGTTAGACACGGAATTCCAGGAGAGGTGTTTGCATGCCTGTAAAATGGCCAGGTTTGCAGAGCCATTTATCTTGTGTGAAGTGCCAGCTCAGAAACTCACTGGGAGCTTCCTCCGACCCCCACTGCCCTGCACAAGCACGAGGTTAAAGGTTTGTTGTGCCTTGCCACCCAGTTAGGGCTCCTGCTCTGGGGGTTTCATAGGGAAAGCCTGTCAGCTGCAGGGATCCTCTCCAAAAGGAACATTATGTTGTAACAGCAAGGAAATGATAAAAAAAAAAAAAGGACACGTGGATAGTAATGGCAAAATCATGTGTTATATTACTGCGCACAGCCACATATGTTAAACATTTAAATCTCTTCTAACAGTTGCCCAGGGAAATGTTATGTGAAATACCTCAAACCAATACTATAAATACTAATAAAAATGTTAAGGTCTGTGAGGCAAAATCCTATTATCAGATATCTTCAGTGAAGTCCTATTGATTTTATATTATGCCACAACATGAAAAAATGCCAGGCACTTTTCAAAGATAGAAAACCAGCTATGAAAATGCTTCACTACAAGCCTATCTGTATGTGTTAGCTCTGTCTGAAGCTGACATGAGTTAGGAGAGAGTACTGCTGTGTGGAGGTTACAAGAGCAACAAAAAGAAATTTAACAGCAGTTTTCTTCCTGGATCCAGGGAGGTGTTGCCAGTTAAGTTCTTCAGAACTAGGAATCTGATTGCTGCCTCTTGCCCTGCAAACTGGAAATACTCTTTCATGTTCAGATATCTTTCAGTGAGAGTCAGTTATTTCAGGTAATGACTGCTATAAAAACTAGTATTATTTACAGGATTTGCACATTTCTTTCTTTGCAGTGTGCATCATTACCACAATTACGTGATAAAATTTAATAACATGTAATAACAGTATACATGAATAATCTGAGATATTTTAACAGCTGAATACCTGAATGTTTTTCCCAATAATTTAAATAATCTCTTATTGACTACATATATATGGTTATGAAATAAACCTGTAAAACAGCTATTTTTTTCTCCTCTTACAAGTTTTAGCGATGACTGAGTTTACTATAGCAGTTTCTTCCTGTTTTCCTTATGTTCAACTACCCATGGCCTGCTTCATTAATGAGCTTTGAGCTCACTGACTACATTCAGTTCTCACTTAGCCCCAGAAAAATACTTCTGTCACATTTCTATTCTTGTTATTCTAAACAGTCCATGTAAACCAACATAAATATACCCTCCAAGCCAGAACACTGGATGTAGAATTGCAACAGCAGTTCCCGTGATGCCTACAGAGGAGGATGGTTTTATCCCTGCTACCTCTGGTGTCAGATTTCAGGATCATTGGTTTGATGGTTGGAAAGCCTGTTGAATGATTCTGAGTTCTGAAGTTCCTCAGTTCTCTCTTCTGAGGCAAAAAAAAGTGATACCAGCTTGACTGGATGGTATTTCCTCATCCATGCCATTCTTCCTCAGCTCTCAGTATCACTGTGATAACAGTCAATCATTTGAATTTGCACAGCACCGAAATGGCAAAAATGGCTGTAGGAGATTAAGGGCACAAACTGCAGTAACTGTAACCCTTCTTGAATGGAAAACAAAAAAGTATACATCTAAAATTCAAAAGAAAAAGCAAAAGGAGTAGCAGTGGATAAGTGACAGTTCCAGTGACTTTCATATTTTTAACATCTCTACAGACAAGACACAACAAGTCTGCAGGACATGAGATAAAACTTCATGTGTAGCATCAGCTTTACATTTGTCAACAAGAGAAATAGGTAGGTTTCATTTCAGCCATTTGACTCATAAAAGGGTTAAAGGTGAAGACCAGGCAGGCTAGAGAAATGAAAAGTCTCCCTTCTGCTTTCTCTCTTGAACTCACACCGTGGTCAGTGTTATTTTCTCTGCACACACGAACACGAAAAATCTGGCTAGCATTAGGAAATTATCACAGACAAGCCAGTTTGCTTCCTCAGCTCTGTTAGCTTTGTGCTTCTGAATCACAAGCCTCAGGCTCAGAGGTGCCCAGACCAAGCTCTTAGCAGGCTCTGATCTTTTTGATTGGATATCAGTCTCACAGGTGTAAGAGCAACACAGCTTCAGAAAAATATCCTGCTAGTCCAGAACACCCAATCTAATCAGCAAGAAGAGCTAATACTTGCTTTTTAACATATATTTCATATGTGATAATTTATCTGTGCAAATAAAGCCTGATAACTGCTTTCTGCTTAAAAGAGTTGTACTCTTGATTTTCACCAGCTCTTGGTCCTCTGACCTTTCTGCTGAGATGCTAACTGCCCTGCCTTACCGTTTCTTCTATCAGACTCACATCATAAAGAGTTTTCCTCCCCAATCCCTTTTTTAACCTGACTTCAGTTTAGCTCAGTTCAGTTCAGTTCTTCATAACTGTTAAAGGCCCAGACAGAGCACCTCGTAAATTTATGGTTGCTGGCATCAACCATTATAATAAACAAGAGCACAGGCAGAAGTGTTTGAGTCAAATTCCAACTTTTTGGGCTCCAAGCTGTGTGCCAGGATATGCTATACTGAACTTTATCTGGAGAGCACAGTACCATGCTCATCAAATCTAAGCTGTTCTAGACAACGTACCTCCTGAACTCCCATATCTGGGTTGATATTTTACTACTGCAGAAGCTTGGAATGTCTCTCCTCTGCTCTTTCTTCATAAATAAAATGTAGATCCCTGCCATTCAGGAGTTTGCAGCACCTGTGTGATGCATGCTCCCCATTCCAACCATTGCTCGCTCCTAAGTGTAAGCAAAATGTGTTTTTCTGACATCCCACACCTATGTCTGAGCAAGAATCAGGCTTGCATGGGGTATATGTTAAGGAAAAAGAAGCGTGAACAACTAGCCCTGGCTTACAAGTGCTAATTTAGACCATGCCATCATGACCTGTTGTATGGGAACGGCTGAGTCATGGCTGAGG